AAAGAGTAGCCCAAGAGTTGGCGGTGGGTGGTGATGACTAGCTGCCTTTCCTCTAGTCTTACACTGCTAAATTACGGACGGCTAGCGCAGATAGCCCTCTTGTAGCTTTGCGCGAAATTCAAAAACAAAAAAACAAAAATAACACTTAATTTCCACAGTCACGCTTAAACAAACGCTATAATTCGCAACAAACGAACGATTCACGCGCTTGACTCAATTGTCGTCTCTATCTCTGTCTGCAATTCAATTACGATTGTTGCCGTCACTTCTTGGCGGTCTTATATACAAGAATACCGCATATCTAATAAACACTTGAGGCTTCACGAAGGATATGAATTTTCTAGAAGCTCATGACGTGTTACTAGCGTCACGTAACTTCCGCTGTCATAACAATATATATAATCACTGTTTTTAAGAGCACGTGAGCTGATGTATTTTTTAAACCAAGCGTGAATATAAAATATTAATATTTACTCTATGCTTTTCTTTAAAATGGAGTGATAGTTCGACCATCTATTTTCAAAAGTGTCATTTTTTGATGCTTATTAATATGCCCCCAGTGGCACAGCGATATATCTGCGGACTTACAATGCTAGAATCCGGTAGAACATAGATAGCCCATTGTGTAGCTTTGTGCTTAATTACAAACTTATTAATATATTATATTATAAATATTATAACAAAATATTTAACTTAGTTTTGATAAAATCCTCAAATGCTTATAATTTTCAAAATAATGTGTGCGTTTTCTTATAGCAATGCCTCATCGGGCTACCTGCTGTATAAATCCGAAGACTTACTGCTGTCCCACCGGAGGACATTTTCAAACTTACTACTACATTTGCTGATATCTTCTTTACAGAAAATGTATAGACTTAAAACGCTAAAATCCGAGGCTCAACTCCTTGCGGAAGGCAGATCGCAGACAGCCAATTATGAATCTTTGCGCTATAGTAAGAGCACCCCAGTTGCATCGGGGCATGTATAGCTAGAAACCGGGTTTCGATACTTGTGGTGGGCAGAACACAAGTTGTATTTCGTGTAGCTTTGTGCTTTTAATAACAAACAAAAAACAACACTGCTATAGCAAGAACAAACAAATAAATCTTGTAGTAAAAAAAAGAAAATTTCGACAATAAAGTTAGAAACTAGTAATAAATAATAATAAAAAAGTTCGTTTTTTAAATGTTATTGCCAAAATTTCTAAATCGCTCTTGAATGCACTACAAATTCTGAAAAGCAACAAAATAGAAAAAAAAAAGATTATGTTAGTGGTTTGATCCATTTTATGTTTTGACCCACTCGGTTGAGTTTAACTGACTTTGGGAAATAATGTCATGTCGTGAGTTTGTTTGTTTTATGCAGAAATATAAACAAGAAACTATTTGCATTGCGCCCTCCGTAAGAATCGATCTCTGATTTTTAGCGTTGTAACTTCTCAGGTTTTACGATGAGCCAGCATTGAGAAAAATATAATGGAATAGACGTTCAACAATAATTAAATATGTATATATTTGTTTTGAATAGATGGCGTATCGTAATGCTCTTTGTAGAGAAATTTAACTAGGTACTAGTACAGTGTATTGGTAATGTTGTATCATTGGAAAGTTTGATGACGGTTTTGCCATTAATTACTAGTAATGTTATTACAATTTAGTAATAATATTATTTTATCTTGCGCTCTAGTAGCCGTTTAAATATAGGCATATGATTTTATATTTTATAAAATTTCATTGCTCAGTCTTGGCTGTGCCTAGCTGTAGTCTGGACTCTAGTAACACTAACGGTAGTAATTAAATATTATTACTTGTACTTTGTAGTGGCAGTAGTATTACTATTAGTACTACGAGTAAGACTAGGACTAGGCTACACCAGTACAGTTTCCGTCTATTTCAGTATTTGTAAAATGAAAAATATCCGCACTTTATTAAGTTGCATCTAACGTAATATTAATACATCAGATCTTGAAGTATAGAAATTTATAAAAAAATAATTGATATGAGACCATTCAAACCATTGAACTTTGAAATCAATTCTCATTCAAAAATTAAATAAGACATTAGCCTACATTCTTAAACTCGTACGTTCTTGTCTTAAAGATATAGCACAAACAAGTGAGTCTTTTATCCTTAAAATCTCCCATAGTCATATTTTTATAAGGTTCAGTAAGATCACCTCTTAAGTATCTTTACTCAAGAGGAAGTAAATTGAGATCTTAACTCCATAAGATAACCCTTCCATCCCCAGAATCATCTTAGTAGCCCACTTCTCAAACCTCTAATAAATCAATATTCTTTCTTAAGTAAAGAGACCAAGAGTGTACACAGTATTCCAAGTGAGGCCTAACAAGGGATTTTTATAAAAGTAAATGCGTCTTTTTCACCTTGGAATCAGATTGTCTTGAAATAGTTAAATACACCCTACAGTTTAGTTTTAAAACTAGCAACAGATCACTGCTTATGTGACTATATTAATGTATCCATTGATATGTTAAGACCTTTTTCTTTAGTCGGTTTCCATTGATGTTAAATGTGGGATCTGAATTATGATAAACCAAATGCACTACCTTTCACATAATACAATTAAAAGTCATTTGAAATATATTTGTCCAAATTATCTATTGATTAAAGTAATTCTTCAACCTTTTAAAATACTCAATACAGCTAGAAATTTCTAAGAGTTTAATATCATCGGCAAACCTTACTAATTTTACTTGTATCATTAATGTAGATAAGAAAAAGCAAAGGCCCAAACATTAGCATCTGAGGAACTTCACCAGTAACAAGGATTCATTTTGACTGAACTCTATTAATAATAACCTTTTGCGTTCTTGCATCCCATCGCCCTATAGTCTAATTAATAAATCTTTTCTTCAGTCTCACCATTGTGGTTTTCTTAGCCAGTCTTTTCACTGAGTTGATAAAGAAACAATGAAAGTAGTGGTAATTCAACAGCAGATTTCCACCTATGCTACACCTTTCATGTCTCTTCATATAGAGAAGCTCAATAGTTTCTTCCTTCTCTAGTAGTGATTTCTCCAAGCATGTTTCCTTTGCTGTGTCCCCTGGTGGGCCAGCATTAAGTTTGGAAACTTTCAGTGCTGAAATCTGCATTTGATTCACCGTGGTGGATAGAATTCAAGTTGACAATTATGTAGCTTTGTAATAAGAAAACAAATAATCCTTAGGTGTGAAGTTCAGAAACTTGGGAATAATTTTCTGTTGTTTGAATGTCAAGACATTCCTTGACATATTTGGCTGTGGTTTTGTTAGATAGATGATAGGGACAGTTGGAGTCTCATATATGTATTAACCCTAATTAAATGATGAAGCATTTGGCTACATTAATAACATATAAATGTTAGAGGTTAGAGTTACTTGTTTTGGAAACATACATACAAGCTTAATTTCAGAATTATTTCCTCCTCAGTGTGGTTAACTTGTGAACATTTATTAAAAGCAATAGTGTATGTATTCTATAATTTTTTCTTTTTTTTGGTCTGTTAGCTTGACTTGTAAATTGCTATGTGTTTCATTGCGACGCAAATTTGAGAGAGTACAACGAGTTATTGAGAACTGACTGAATAGTACACATCATGTGTTTAAGTTGATATGTAGTAGTGACAGGTCATTTAAGAATAATATACAATAATTAAATTGCATTTAAGTTATAAAGTTATTGTGGAAGTATTTGTATTGTTTAATTGCCATCAAGCACTAACTAATTTTGAATTACTTTTTCCAACTTTGTTTAGAAAAAAACTTCTCTATTCAATGCATAGAGACACACCTTCACCCATGGAAGGTCCTGACGAAATGGATGATGATGGATTAGTACTTGATGATGGTAAATAATGAGTTTTCAGATAGTTTTACTGTGTATTAGCTAGTTTTTAGAAAATTTCTATTCTGGCTGTTGTATAAAAAGTTCATCTACGAGTATGATGGTGGTTGTGGTCAGGTTCATAGATGGGGATGGGAGGCAAATGACCACACCAATATTATAACAAGTCTAAAAGGTCCACTATAAGTCCATCATCTTCTGGCTTTTTTAGAAATAAACATTTCTCTTTCATGTAAATAATTTAAATTATTTTTCTATATGAAATGATCCACATTTCTTTTTAAAAAGACCCTCCCACACACACACAAACTGTAGTATCAGGTGTGCCCCTGACAGTCTAGTACAAAATATATTGCACTTTGTCAGCTAAAAAAGTAGTTTCGTTGAACTTCATATAACATATACTCTCAGATGTATATAACTTAAATTTATCATAATGTTTATTTAACATGGGAGTTCTTAATCAACAAAAGTTGCTTATTAAACTCTCATTACAGGACATTCATAATAGAAACAAAATTGAACTACATAAGTTTCAGCCTTTTAAAGATTGAAGTTCTTTTTTTTTAAGAAGTAAGGAAGCGTTAACCTAAAAGTTTCCTTTTTTTTTTTCTGTCAAACTCTGTCATGTTAACAGAAACATTTAATTATGTACAAGTATTTCACAAATCAAGTTATTGCAAAGTTTAGTGACATGTTGATGAGTCAGGATATTAGAGAAAAAATGATGAAAAATAAAATACACAGCAGGGAAGAGATATTAATATGTCAAAATAAATATAAGAACTAAAACTTGAGAGAATTAAGCCAAGATTATTTCTCAAGTATGTAATCTATAGGCTCTTTGTATTTTGTGTTTTAGTTATTGCTGTTGAATAAGAAATGTACCACAAGTTGTATGTCTCATAATATTAATGAAAAATGTATGAAAATTTGCCAACATTTATAATATACTTTTATAAAGGTAATGTTTACTGTATTCCAATAGACTGGCAAAGCACGCATTTAAGATGTATATTTAGTTTAAAAATACATTTTATTTTGTATTCAATCATTAATCTAACTACTTTTTAAATCACATTTTAAAATTTTTATTAATGTACATGTATGTTAATATTCTGTATTATTTAATTAAATAAAATGAAAAAAGAAGAGTGAACTATTTTAGAGCAGTATATTTTTACCTATTTGTATCAGAAATATTTATAAAACGAGTTGTTCAAGTTTTGCATGGATATGCAACAGATCAGTAACATACTTCACATACTAAATTAAAAAGGTCATTGCCCTGTATTCATCATACACTAATAAACTGTGTGTTAGACATTTTAAAGTGGCATGATTTCACATGTATCCAAACCAGGTTTGATGATTGTTTGATAAAAAAAAGGAAGTAATAAGCAATTACAAGTATTTTTCTTGTCTTCATGGTGACCTTTAAAATAACTCTTATTTTGTATAGCTGTTACCAAGTAAAATGAAAAAAAAAAAAAGTAGCTAAAAAGTAGTATAGTTGATGCAATTGAAACTACAATATTACAGTTTATTTATTGGAAGGCTATTTATGTAAGAAGAAGGAAGTTGTATTTTTTCAATGGTTAAATGCTTGAATACTTGGGATTCACTGATATAAAATTCTTAAATTAAGTACAAATAAAATATGATATGAACCAATTAGTAACTGTTCTACAAAAATAAATAATTTTGAAATAAAAAATAAAGATTTGATGAGTTATTTGAAACGTGTTGTATTTATATGCATTTAATTAACCCTTATATTCTGAGCTTGGTTGCTAGATTTTAAAACAAGGAATCTTGAAAATGGCCTGTTTCTTGTCCTGACTAAATGAACCTTAAATTTAATGAGTCATCCATCATGTTTTGATAGATTTTGAAGTATTTCTTTAGAAAAATAACTTTTTTTTTTAAATAAAAATTGTATTAAGATGCACCTTGCAATAGTAAGGCTCAAGCCAGGCTAAACTTAAAGTAAAGTAGTTTAGGATCATTATCTAATTAAGATTTCTATTTAATGTAAAATACTTCTTATCTTGATACATATATTATTAATTTTTGTAAAACCACATGTTTGTAGGATAGTAAAAATTCTTGCTACATGTATGGTCTCAAAAAAAAAGGTATATTTTTTGAGACTTCACAGTATTATCTAATCTTCTGCTTGTGTTCAGAAAGAGGCCTATTCTGTTATAGGTATACCTTATTAGATTCATAATACTTTTTTTACACAAGATTATTTACTGTAGAGATAATGAAACAAGTATAAAGAATAGTAAAAAGTAAGTTTTAAAATAATCAAATCCACTTGATAGTTAAGATATATTTCAGTTGATGTAAAGTAATTAATAGATTAATAGAACTTGTTTCATTAACTCTTTAGTCTTATTTATGAGTTAGATGGTTATCAAATTATGCCAAATAGAGCATCTAATGTTGATGATTCTGGTAAAAATTAATTTTAGTTCAAAAATATGACTGCAGATGTTTTGTACAAACTTCAAAGTGTCATTTGACAAGTTGGAATCACATATGCTATGAATAGCTTTGCCAAAAGTTCTCATAAGTTCTATAATTAATTTTGCATCACAAAGTACCTTTAGAGATAGGTTTGAGGGGAAGAAAGTTAGTAATTGTAGGCGTTATTCCAAGTTTATATATAATATTGGCTCATGTTAATTTTTATCTGTTGATCTTTCCTTTGTGATAAACAACAGGATGCTACTTTTCTGTATTCATTTGCAATTGGTCTAACAATCATTCAACATGCAACAAAATATCAGGTATCAAAATTAAGGTAAAAAATAACCTTTATAATAAAAATGTAATGATTTATAGATACATACTATAAGACCCATTTTGTGTTCTAGGCTAAATTTTATAGTCTCAAAAGTATTGTCTTTCTGCTCCTTTGCCTAGGTTTTGTACCATTTACAATGCATAACCTTACTGACTTGAAAGAAAGTACTGGTTTTTTTTTCCTAAAAATACATGATTTGTCTATTTGAGATCCTACTTGTTTTTATAAAAACAGATGCTGTGCTTATCTTTCTAAATAATAAGATATTTTGGAGGAATGTTCTAAAAGAACATTTTTTCATTCACTCTCCAGCAGATGAAGTGTGAGTTAAATAAACTGATGCTGAATTAATGTAATTTTTCAATTTAGAAATATATATAATTATCATTGTGTATAATTGTGGTTTATGAAATCAGGTACATGTGTGTTATCAGTTACTGGTGGATGAATATTGTTTTCTAAGTTATGAAACTACAATGCCTACCTTGTGAATGTGCCTGTGCAAAAGAATGTGGTATAATTTCAACTATAGAAGAGAGATACAGTGTAATGTCGTTATAATGCGATCATTGAGGTCCATAAAATGTCATGCTAAATTGGGGTTTCACTGTATTTATACAGTGTTGGATCAGACTTTATATAAATGCTAATTTATATTTTGCATGGTTGCTGTTATTTCATGACAATGAAGTGAAAACATCTGAGGGCATTTTGTGCATTTGTGTGTCATACCTTAAAAATAATATCCATAACTAGGTACCGTGGACTTAATTCTACCTTAGCAGAAGTAATCTTAGCTTATTAAGATTACTTACTTCATTTAGGATATGTACTGTTAATTTTAAAGATTGAAAAATACATATATTGAAAATTATCCAAAAAATTTAAACATAAAAAGTCATAGAAGTGTTATACAATAGCAATATCTTTAGTTGTAATGGCCTCAGTTTCAGTTTAGCTTTAAACTAATTGAAACATCCCTTCTATCCTAATAGTATCGTACTAATCTTAAACTGATAGAAAATCATATCCTTAATTCTGAGTAATGATCACAGGTGATAGCCTGGAGCAGTTATTTGAAATGGTAGTGATAACTTTTCTGTTCCATGGCCTTTATATGTATGTGTGTGTATATATATATTGGAGATGCAATGGGCATGATCCTAATATCTCATAATTTTTTCCAAACCATAGAAGTTGGTAAGTTATCTCACTGATCAGGATTATAAGATGTGAGATCAAACTTATAAACATTTTAGATGTAGCCATACATAATAATGTCCCTTGTAATTCCTTAGATGAACTTTGTTGCTTAGTACCCTTGCTATTTGTAGGGTTAGAACCTTTTATTATTAACATAATCAATCTTATTATCCAGTTGTGTAAATAACACCAAATTCTTGTTGAGTTGGTATAAATGAAAATACTAGGTAAGTGCTTTTTCATAATGACAGCAAGAAAGCTTTGTCCATATATTGGTAAAGCTATAGATAATGAAAACCAGTTACATGAATGTATATTTATTTTTGGCTCCTGGGGGTCATTTTTTACACAAATGGTCATGACTGCTTTATCCTCTATTCATATGTGTTGTATGTGGACCAGTTTTTTTTAAATCTGGTAACATAATTTTAAAAACAGATTTGATATTGTCTCTAAATTAGTTGTCACTTCTGAAAAATGTGTGGCTATTATCTTGTTAACAACATTTCATTTAGTTTTTGTTTTCATTACTTCAAGACATTGAGGTTATTGAAGATGAAGATATAGAAATTGAAGATGATGAAGATAGCCTAGATGATGGAGTTGTAGAAGGAGCTGCAGGTGCTTCTTATTCAGTGAAGGATGACTCTGTTCATGTGTTCAAAAAACATACAGGTAATTAATTGCATGGAAAATTTTTTATCAGTTGTATACTCAACCAAAATGGAAGGTATGTCTCATAAACACTACCACAAGTTCGATCAAACACTTTAAATATTTTTTCAGTATTTAATCAAAATTATTTTATGACATAAAAGCCAAAATACTAATAATGAATTATCAATGATTTTGTTTAATGAAATAATGTTCTCTTGGAATACAGAAGTTTTCCTGCGTGACTTTGTAGAATTAGAAAAACTACTCTTAGTATTCATGACTTAATCCTGGTATATTTGTAGTATTAAATATCTACTGTTTGTTGCTTAATCTTAGTTTATTTGTAAAACTACTGAACTACCTTTAGTATTTATTATTTTAACCCTGATGTTTTCTCTAGAATTATGACGTGTATTACCAGTATAACTTAACCTGTACAACTTTTAATATAGGTGCAGTGTTTTGTTGTGATGTGGATCAAAGTGGAACCTATGCTGTATCTGGAGGGGAAGATGATAAAGCCTATGTATGGAGGATAGCAGATGGAGAAGTTCTTCTTAATTGTTTAGGTACATGAGTTTTGTTAGTTATTATTTTAACCTTGTAATTATTAAATAGTTTGTGTACAAATGTTTAGTCATAAGTATTTAATTTAAATATATTTATTTTAAGCAATTTAGTGGTGGTAGAGCTGGTTGTAACACATTTTATCTTTTTATTGTCTATAATAGAGAAAGACTAATTTAAAGGAAACATCAATTTTTTGCAAAGTTTGTATTATTTTCCACTAAACTGTGTGAGGTTCAAACATATAATTGATTTATACTGTACCATTTATATTACAATAAAAAGTTTATAAATACAGCACTTAAATAGTGATTATTTTATAATTCCTTAAAAGGTTTAGACATTTCAAGTCAACGATAGAAATCAGTATAAGTAAAAATGAAGAACAATTAATTTGTTTTATAAGAAATTGTGGACTGTGTATTTTATGTAAACATTGAAAATAAAGAATAATTTCATCTGTAGCAGTAAAAACTCATGAAATATGTTACATGTTTTTCATTTACAAACTTCTGGTGAGTAGCATTATTTATTAATCTGATGAAAAATGTGCCTTCTGATAGTCTTGAGATGAGCATAGTCCAGTGGTTAGCTTGCTGGTTATGGAAGTGTTCTGCTCTTTGAAACTTTGGATGCATTATAAGAGTGACTGTTAAATCTTATTATTAGATCAGGCAAATGTAGCCCAACAGTTGGTAGAGTGTGCTGTTGACTAGCTGTCTTCCCTCTAAATTATTTTAATAATAATAATAATGATAAAATAACACATACCAATGGGTATGAATTCCTGAGTTAGATGCATCTCTTCAAGGATGGAGAATTTATGTTCAAGGTCAGGAGTTCCAGGGTATTTGGATAGAAGTCGAGTCTACCCTCCATATCAATGTTCTTGAAGGGAAAAATTGTCATGTTACATTCCAACAACTCCTCAGTGGTATCTCAGATTTGTCGCCAAGGAGGCACACATTCTCGAGACTGTTTTCGTACCTTGAATCTTCTACACTGGGCTCATTCCTATTTTTATCACTGCTTTAGCATGTCCTGTTCCACGAGTGATGAATTTAATTGCAGATCACTTGTTTCCAATTAACCGGATTCTTTTGACAGAATGGATGATGCATAACAAGGTTTTTTTCAGAGTATTTGCTCTCAGTTTTCGTCTAATACCTCATCCTCAAGCATTGGCAGTAGATGTGTACAGTCAGGACTGGACAGGTTTATATCAGTATGCCTTTTCCCCCTGATTGGACTATTGCTCTGGTTTCTGATTATGGTTCACTCCACTCCCTATCAAGTTATCTTGGTTGCACCGTATTGGCCAGTTCAAACATGGTTTTCCCTTCTTCAGGATTTGCAGGTATGTCCTCCTCTACCCCTTCCACATTGAGCAGTCTCTGAGACAACCTCGATCAGACATTCTCCACCCAGGTGTTTGGAAACTCAATTTTCATCCTGGGAAGTTATGTGGTCTTTGCCCAATTTAAGGGTTTAACTTCTACAGTTTCTCTGTATTTAACTACATCTCTCTGTAGGCCAACCACAGCTGTTTATCAGTGGAAATGGAATATTTATCGTCAGTGGTATCTTAAAAGGAATTTCAAACTTCTTCATTCTAATGTATCTACCATATCCCGTTTTATGAGTTGGGTATTTGAGAGAGGTCTTGCTTTGCTTACAGTTGCTTCATATAAGGCATCCTTATCCACTATTTTCGATATTCCAAATATCAGAAGGTTTTTTGAATCCTCAATACTATCAGGTCTACTCAAAACCCTTCATATTATTTGACCCAAATGACCTTTTCAATTACCAAATTACAATTTAACAGTTGTTTTACATGCATTGTCTCATTCTCCTTTTGAGCCCTTAGCTTCATGTTCTTTGTTTCACCTTTCTCTTAAATTCTATTTTTTGTTGTTATTGGCTTGTGGACATTGTTGGTTGGAGTTGTTTGCTATTCCTGTGCTTAGGACTCTTTATCATTCCACATTTGTCCTGCTTTACTCCAATAGGTCCTTTCTGTCCAAGGCTCTTACAGCTATAGGAGGGGAAAGATTCTTATCATCAATCCATTTGCTAGCCGCTTCTTACCTTTATGACTGCTCCAATCCTGACTGTTTGTTATGTCCTGTTTAGGGCCTCATGTGTTATGTAGCTTGTACTAACTCATTTCAAGGTCGTAGGAATCGATTGTTCGTTCATTGGAATCCTTCTTTTTCCTGTTACTTATCTCTCATTACCCTAACAAGGTTGCTTTGTAAGTTGATTCACATGACCTATAATGGATTATTGTTACTGGAGAGGAATCTTTTGCATTTCACCTCTCACCAATTTGTTATATCTCTGTCAATAACTGCCCAGTTGAATTGCCCTTTGGAAGACATTATGCGGTCTGGTATGTGGAATACTCCTAATACATTCCTTACATGATCTTGCAGTTTCGTTTTCTGCTGGTCATTGACTAACCTCTGTAGCTATTTTGGCCACATTTATTAGATTTTCACCAGAGGTGAGTATTTTCCTCAATCATATACCCTTTATTTTCCAGGGTCCCTTTATTTTTTCACTGGATCCCACTCTGTGGTGAGTGTTTCCCAGGCAGATATGCTTTCTATTTTCAGTTCCACACTAGCAACTACTTTCACTATTATTACTACAGGTTGCAACAGGCTCTGTCAAAATGGGGTGTTCCATAAGACCATCTAGGCACCTACTGGATGGTATTACTTTATTATTATGGACTATCATGAGTAAAGCTAAAGGGGATCCTGCTCATTCATGCCAATCTTCAGGTTGAATAAATCAGGGTCAGTTTGTTTTTAAAAATGTAGCAAACTTGGTTCACCTATTGCACAGTTTCCGGAGCATTGTTCCTCAGGACTCCCCAATGCATATTACCCCCTCCCCAGACTCTCCTTGTGGAGCGTGGGAGTCCTTGCCACCCCAGTTTCCAGTTGCTGGGGTGGCGGACAGAGGCTTTTCCTCCCGAATGTTCAAGTGTGTTTCTCAACTCTTGGAGAAGAGGACAAAGCTGGGGGCCCTCCTACTCGGATCCATGAATGTTTTACCTAGTACTCAGTAGGAGTGGCACCAGCCTCTGCAAGAGCCTACTTGTACTTCTGGTTAGATTTGACACGAAGCTATCTGGTTGGGGGGGGGTGCATGTCCCTTTTCTTTGATCAATGCCAGTTTTGTATATTGTTCATGGAAGGAGGTCCACCATCTCCTCATAATTCTGAATGTGATTTGGTCCCTTTATAGGTCCTTGGTTGGACACAGGTTCCACGCCCTCTCCATGATTCCAGGGGCAAGCGGAATACTCCTTGCCCACTTGGTAAGAGAGTGAGGATGAATGTTCATAATTCTAGACCAGATGAGTTCTGTTCCTTTGGTTGAGTATGGCATATACAATCCTGTCATTCCAAGCCTGGGGTGTTGCCTTTTGGACTTCTTCAGGTGGAGGAGAAAGTTTGTCCTCTTCAGTGTTGCTTACTTTCTCATTGTGAAATGCACCACTCTATGGCTACCATTTGGGATTTTATCAAAAGTATATATAACATTCTAGTCCAATAGCTCTCGACACCAGTGTGGGATATAGGTACTGTGATCCCTTAATTCCAACCTTGAGTTGTGGAACCTCGACTGTCTTGTTGGGGCTGGCCTATACTGATGATTTCTCGTATTCTATTCCACCTTTGATAAAGGAACTGAGTTCCTGGTGAAGAGCATACCAGTTCTGGATGCAGTGCAGTTCCCCACTCTTGTAATATTTTTTATCTTGGTACACTTCTGTTCTATACAGATGATTTCTGTATGGTTCATGCTTGCACCAGCCCCTCCACCTTCTCAATGTGGGATTCTAGCTACAGTGTCAGCGGAGGTAAGTATGGTTTGAGAATTATCATTTTCCTAAACTGAAAATGTATTTCCAATAATACTTGCCTCCGCTGACACTCTTTTGCCCACTAAAAGCTGGTTTATTACATTATATGAATGAGGTGTTGATGTAAGTTTTTAATGCATATATAAAGTTTTTATTGAGTTAGAAATTGGAATGGCTAGAAACATTTTCGAGATAGAAAAATATTGTCACAGACTGTTAATTGTGTCTTTGTAGGTCACAAGGACTCTGTTGTTAATGTTGGATTCAACCATGATTCTACACTTGCAGTGACTGGAGACATGAGTGGTGTTATTAAAGTTTGGAAACTGGATTCAAAAGAAAATATTTGGAGTTTTGAAACAACAGACTTGAGAGTTCGTATTTCAAATATTATTTTAGCAACAAACTTTTCCATTTAACAACTTGTGGAAACTTATCTATGTAGGCAGAATAGATTAAAACAATGACTTAGAATTAATCATCAGACTATATTTAAATAAGATCTACTAAGTCCAGTAACCAGTTTTTCCCCTACATTTAAAAAAAAAAAAGAACTGTTAATTAATTGTGAAGAAGTCTTGCATATAAAGATAGCTACTTAGATCAAAAAGATTCCACATAATATACTGTGGTTGAGAAATGTTGTTCCTAGGATGGATCATGCAAAAATATGGGAAATAGATTATGTAATATATTAGTAAGCTATCAAAATCTTTTCTGTTTAGTTACAGGAGAATAGTTGTTAGTCCAATACAGATCCAGTAAGTGAATGACATGTATGTACAGTTTATTTTAAGCCTTAAACAGAATCATAGCTTGAGCAACTATTGTAATGTGAATGTGTACCAGTACACTCATATCATCCTGCCATTTTTCTATCAAACCATTCTGCAAGAATACATAAAGAAAAAACTTATCTTTTGGTCACCAGTAGTAACATTTCCTTAGCTGTAACTATGGTTCTTACCTAATAAATTCAGATGCAAAAAAAGATGCTATTTGGTTGTAATTCTAATTTCACAATCTTGCGAACAATGAGGAAGAATGGCAGACTAATTATATGGAGTATTTTGTGCATGCTTTTTAATTCTTGAGCTCAAACAATGAATTGTAGAGCCTACATAACCATGGTTACATCTTGGACATGTAAGTTTATAGGTGATGTAAGAGCAATGCATTTTGGGAATCTGGTCTTTAAATTTAAAATAATTACAACTATGACATATCAGCTTGAAAACAATTCTAAAGTTAATTTGTGGATAAACTGTGATTCAATATTGTTTTAATCTGTTTCCCTTTTTATAACATATTTGCCAGTAAAAGGTAGAATACATTAAATTATTTCTTTAGTTTCAAGAGGTTTATTAATTTTTGAAGTGCACAAAGCTTTTAAATGATTCTTAATGATACTATCAATTAACTATAAAGGAAAATATTTTTTCTGTAACATAAATTCCAATTTTCAGTTATTCATTTGCCATTCTTCCAAACATTATTTGTTGAAACTTTAATTTTAAAAAATTTGAAACTTTGTATTTGCGTTTGATTTTAAATTGAACTCCCAAAATGTGATAAATTAAAATAAACAGATACAGAAATTTTCAAAATGATATTGGATGCCTGAATTAAATGTGACACACAGTCATTATATTCAGTTTATGTGATCAAAGTTATTTATATTATAATTCAATCTTTGGGGTGTATCATTCATTTTTAACTCCCTAAAACTTAACAACTTGAATTAGCTGAATTTCACCTCTAAAATGCACATTCTGTCTAGAAAGTTGGTGTATACATTAAATAGACCAATCTCACTAAACTCACCTATGTATTTTGTATTTATTGTCATTCTCTTCAAGTTTATGTAACTTCCTGCTTCTATATGCTCTTAGCCGATGTTTATGTTAACATCTGTTCTCTGTATATATATATCATGGCAAGGTGTTTTGGGTGCTGACTCTTAATCAGTGAGTTATGAGATTGAAATCTGGGAACCAAACATGTTCATTCTTTCAGCTGTGGGAGCATTATAATGTGATGGTAAAGAGTAGCTCAAGAGTTGGCAGTGTGTGCTTGCCAGCTGGCTGCCTTTCCTCTGGTTTGGCAGTTAAAAATCGGAGAGAGCGGCAGATAGCCTTAGTAGCTTTGCCATAAACAAACCATATACATCAAAGTGATTACAGAAGAAGATTGGATATTTGTTACTGTTGTTAACCCATCTCTTCCTCAACATCAGTGATAAATCGTAGAAAGATTTAGAGAAATTGTATGTGGTAAAATATGTACTTTAAAATATGAAAACTTTACTCAGGTTAGAATTAATGTTACACTATTAATGACATTTATTAATGTCTTATGTATGTCAATTGGTTTCTTCAATTGCAAGCTTAATGCAGCTCAATGGCATAATAAAATGTTAAGATCAACCTTGTATTGTGATTATTAATGATAATTTTGCAGGTAAGAAATTGGTCATTGTATTTCTGATATAATAATTCTAAAGTTTTGTGTTCTTTCCACAATCACTTGATTTTTTTTTTTTTTTTGCTAAGGAAATTATATGTAATTGGCCAGTACAGACTTCTGATAGGACATTTATCAAAAACAAAAGTTCCTACTTTTTGTTGTTACATGTATATAGATGCATTGTTGAGTACTGGAATGGTTGTGAGGGGCCAATTGAAAAAACAAATACAACATATTTATGTTTAATAACATACTTTGAGTAATCATGATGTCACACCACGTTTTCTCATACTTTACTTACCTTAGTCACTTCCACTTTGCCCCTGATGAAAAAGGGTCTACCTTTCAAAAGCACTCAGGCTATGAGGTTTCTTATTCGTCAGAAAAGTATTTTTGTAGATTAAGAATTAGAAGTTCAAATTTTATGTACTTTATCTTATGTCCTTACTGATGTGAGGGTTAAGAACTTTTAATTGATGAAAAGTTATGAAATTCTAATCATCCTTGTTTTGTCAGTTATAAATATCTATAGGTTACTCGTATGCTATGATGACTAGAAATGTAAAAGTACATTGCAGAAAGTTGTGGAGGAAATAATAAGTAATAGAGTATATTTATTTTTATGCTATAATAATCTACATTCTTTTCATTTACTTCAAGTGGCTTGAATGGCACCATGGAACAAATGTCTTGTTAGCAGGTACAGTTGATGGTGATTCATGGCTGTGGAAAATACCAAGTGGAGAATGTAAAACTTTTCAAAGTTTTGGGGTTCCTAATTGTTGTGGAAAAGTTTTACCGGATGGTAAGGGAAAGTATAGTTGTTTTTTTGTCCTGGTATTTCTGAATGATGACATTTTGTGTTAAGTAGAAATGATTATTCAGTTTAAGACTCAAGTGTGTATGTTAATTAGATGTAAAATAAATTTAGTGTAGGGGTGAAAAATTTTATAAAATTAAACAATGAGATCAAAATTGAACTTTGTACATCTGACTTATATTTTTTGAAAATTATTCAGTTTCCTTCACAACTTTCTTTTAAAGTATTCCACTGCATTTTTTTTTCACTCATTACTTTCTCTTGTTAAGTTAGGTAAAAGAGCAGTAATTGGCTATGAAGATGGCACTGTTAGAATATGGGACTTGAAGTCAGCATCTGTTCTTCATGGCATTACAGGTTTGTTAATGTGAATACTTTTTTATTTGGCATATTGTTTGAAATTTTATATGTAGCTTTAACTCTTTCCAGCCTGGCATCTTGTATGTTTTTAGGAGCTCAAATGACATCTTAAGTTTTAAAAATTTATTTTTGATGTCTTCCCTCAAGTTACCTACAGAATATAACTTCAGATGAATTGTTCAGATTTAGTGTTTTCCTCAGTGGCTCAGCAGTAAATCTGAAGGCCGCAAGTCTTTTAAAATCTAGTTTTCAATACCTGTTGTGGGCAAAGCATAGATATCCCATTGTGTAGCATTGTAACTACCTGAAAATGTGATGGTTCCACAGCAAAATACATACCACTCAACTCCCCTTTTTTATATATTTAAAGGACGATGAAGGCTAGGGGTTACCCTGCTGAGAAGAGTGCATTTTTTGAGTGCCTTCATTTGGTCTTGTCTCGTATGAGGCTGATCTTCTGCACTCATTTTCGCAATAATCCAGTTCGTTGAATCTAACCTGATCCTAGAGTCTCATCAACTCCACTTGATCACATTTCCAATTGTTGTGGTCTGTGTTGCTTTCTTCCTGCCTGAGAATCGAACTTTTTGGTGAACTAGTGGTCGTTATGATTTTCTGGTTCCCTCTTCCATCTCTGTATGGATATTCTGATTTTTTGTACTTCAGGAATAAATCTGCCTGTTTTGAATTTCAGTTTTAGAATTAACGTGAATTTCAAATAGATATTTACTTCTGAAATACATTCCCAGGTACCTCCCTACAACTGGGAGATATGTGTTTTCCATTATAATTCCAACTATGAAATCTGGATTATGGGGGAAAGCACAACTTGTATACATCCTGATACAAGTGCAATAAGTCATGGAAGGTGAAAAAGTGGAAAACTATTGGTAAGTTGATGCATGCTCTGAATTATGTCAACATGAGAGCAATGCAACAAGAAAAAGCTTTTTGTAGTTGAGTGCCTGTTTGGAATTCATTTTAATTTTTAAAATGTAAAAGTGTTAAGATGTACTTCATCCTTGCATGAACTTAGAGATTGGTGGGGAGGGGTCCTTTCTGAAACAAATTTTAAAACAGATATGATTTAAATACATATGCCAAAGTTACATCAGTTCCACCTATTTATATTAATTTCAACAATATATATATAAGATATTTTAGTTTAAAAGTTCTCAGTATAGTGGGGTAGTACATAACATCATTTGGTTTATGAATGTATTGCTTCTAGTAAGTGTGTTATCACCTGGCTTTCAAGTCAACAGTTATGGGTGTATTGTGTAATTGATAATGTAAAATTATTTCACCTCGTGGTTTTGTTGTAAACTTATCAAGAAACAACCTAATTTTGGTTCAGAAATGTTCAACGGTTATTATATTTTATTTTTGAAGTGTCTGTGTATTAGTTTAGTTTTGTTTGTGACTTGTTAATTTTTATGAATACAAATGCAGCACGGGCCCATATAATGCCACTGGTATGGAAAGAGAAAGATTTGATTATTGTAAAATATAATAGAAATTCACTACTCAAACTCTTGGTCTGTAATAGAGACCAGAAAAAAAAACGAAAAAATTTATGTTACGACAAATGTAAAAGGTTTTATTTATTAATTTTGTTTATATTTTGTGAAATTACATTAAAGTATGATAAACAAAATGTTTCTAAAAAAGTTATTACAGTAAAACATTTGGATAAGTTACTGTAATTTAAAGTTGTTTTTGTTTTTTTTCTAGTGATAAAGATTGGCTGATCAGGTTTCATGGTTTCACATTTAGTGTTTATTTTTTCACTTTTGTTTGATTTATTTACTTGTATTATTTTTTCAATCACACTTAAATTATTGCTTTAGAATATTATATATGTATATATTTTATATCTGTATGCTTGGTTTCTAATAAATTTTCTATATTAAAATCTTGTAAGATCTTTTAATGAATCTACTTAGACTTTCTTAGTATATTACATTGTTGTACTATTAACTTGTAATTTATTTTATACAGACAAGTTAGCTCATGAAGAGGCAGTAACTGTGATGGATTGCTGTAAAGATAACACACTAGTGCTAACAGGATCCACAGACTGTACAGCAAAACTCATTAACACAAACTCTGGAAAGGTAAGTAGCTGTAAAATTTATTTATTTGGATATAAAACTTAAATCGCTTAATTAAAATAAATTTCTTAAGTTTTAATTCTGGTATGGATCTTGTTATTTTCAGTACTCAGAAAGCTAATAAATTGTATTCTTTGCAGGCAATATATAATCTATCTAAAAATATGTGCTGTGTTTTTGTATACCCAAGCCTTAAAACTCAAAAAAGGGAAATGGTTGAAAAACTGGTCATAAAATATACTTCATGAAGCTCATTATTTTGTATAGAGAACTCTTAAATTGATTATTTACATCTCAAATAACAATAACTTTTGTTCTTTTAAAGAGATACTCGTCACAAATGCTGATAACCTTTTTATGCTATTGAAAGCAAGTATCTAAAGCTACTAAATGATTGCATTGAATTTGCACAACTGTTAAAATGTTTACTTATTTCTTGTGAACAGAAAGTAAATATAAATGAGTGTTTAGTTGCTTTTAATGTGTGCTTTTAGTTGACTTATGTTAATAATACTTAAACTTTCAGTAGCTATCTGATTTTATCTAAAGTATTCCAGTACGATTTTGGGAAGTTAAAAAAAATTGTTTTTAGTTTTGTTACAATTCTGAGTTGAATAAAATCAAGGATTGTTCTGGTAATTTTTTATGTTTGCAGGTTGGTCATAACATGTCACTTTAACTATGAAATATTGTAAAATTTAATCACACAAACAAGAGAAAAAAAGCTATCAAATGAGTCAGTAAATAATTGATCTTTGGTAATATATAGACCAGGGAAAGATGTGGATACTCAAGCCCACAAAATTCTCAGCTCTGAATCACCATTAAGGAGGTAGATGCTTTTAATGAAAATGAGGAAGAAATACAATGAAATAGTTTATGAAAAATGGATCACTTAAGGTTATAAGTGAAATCTCTGTCCTACTTTTGACATTCCAACCTCCAAAACAGTCAGAAATCTTGTTTTAACGTTTTCATCACAGGCTCAGTCTCTGGGACCAACCTCGTAACCATTTTGTGCTTGTTATAGTTTTCATGGTATAACTTTTAAAGTAGTAAGCGAATGTTAATGAAATTTGACACATTATCGATAAACATTACAATGCTTTCATATGCAAAATATAAATTTTTTTTATTAAGTCTTAGGTTTTGTAAAGCAATGTTTTTCTCATGCCTGTTTTTTCTTTTTGCATGTTGCCTATCTAACATGCAAAGTAATTTTCATTTTAAGATTAAAAATGCTTTATTGCATCAGAACATTTTCAAATTTCACATGTGAAATCTTTATTATGTCCAGATAGTTATTCAATGTTTCTTAAGAAAAACTTTATATTTTATCTGTTATTATCAGTAATTAATCTCTGTACTGTTCGGTAGATTTGACCGCTCTCGCTACCACCAAAGTACTGTACAAAGTAATTAGTTTTGGCTTTGTTTTAGTAGATTAGTATTTTGTAAAATACAGCAACATTTCAATTATTATACATTATATGTGTATATGGATTATTGCTATTTTGAAATAAGTTCTTAAACCAGTTTATCTTAAAACATAGAACAGTAAAAAAAGAAGTAAAGCAAACAATTATCTCTTCTAGTTAGAACCTTTGTACTTAGTTGCTGCTTGATGTAAGTTGCTAAGCCTTTAAAATTTTTGCACGTGGAGGATATGGAAAAAAAATTTTTTGAGGTTTTATATGTACATTTGATTAACTAAAAAAATCATAAATTACTACATCAGTACCGTAAAATTCCACTATAATTTATCAAACTTAGTAACTAAGATGTATTTTAGTCTAAAAACATATGAAATTTCGATTAGACTAAAGACACACCCTATCTCCTTGAAATATTGGTTCAAAAGAAAGAAATGGCATCCAAGGCCAGAAAAAAGTACCTGTAAGCTTAGGGTTAATAATTAGATACCTTGTATTTTATTATAGTGGTTATTTTTAGTTCATAATTTAAACTGTGAAATATGTTCTTAGAAATGTGGATATTTTTCTGGATTCTTAAGGTTTTGGCCACGTTTCAATGCAATGATAAACCAGGTGATGAAAAAAGCAGCAATTCTGTAGAAAGTGTTGGATTTTGTTCCAGGTAACTTTGTTTTGTGAGTTAGTGAAACAAGTTATCTTTTCAATTTTATTAAAAATTCTATATACAGTTATTTTCGTGGTTTATTCATATTATTATTATATATAGTGTAATCTAGTTGTTCTTAGTTGATTTCTTGTTGAAGAAAGTTTATTGACTAAGTAAATTTTTATTTCTACATTTTATAAAATATTTTAATTTGTGTATGTGTATATATATTGAAGCTTTGTTGTGCCATAAGTTATACAATGATAATATAATACATATTTTTTGTGAAGAGTGCAACAGTATGATTAATTGATTAATACAGTGTTCCTCAAACCATGATATGTACAAATGAATAAAATAAAAGTTAACGGTGAGTGCTGCTACACAGTTGCTTTTCTTCTGGTGAGCAGTTCAACAACAACAGAAAAGGTTTTATTGGAAAGTGCTGCCAGCCAGTTGCCTTCCCTCTAGTCAGTATTTCAGAATTAGTGATAGTGGCAGATCGCCTTAGTAGCTTTGCCATAACAAGGACAAGATGAGCAAGTTTAGTGGTAATATTTTGGTTAGTTGGATAGTTGATATAATCGAAGACTGTAATAATCAGAAACCTTAATTTTGATCAGTTTATTATTTAGTTGACAAATGATTTAATCACTATTTTGATTATTCGATTAGTTCATCTGATACTAATCAATATACCTACTGCTTTAGTTTCTCAGCTCTGATATTTATACATCCAAGAAATAAATAAATACAAATAAAATAGGCTTGTGGACATTGTGTTGTGTTTACACGTGATATTCTTTTATTGATTTTAAACAAAACATTAAACATTTTAAGAAATTGAACAGTGGAATAAACAGGATAAATTTAGTTGTTGTGTATTAACTGACCTTGGTTCATTATGATGGATATAAAAAAACAATGCTGGAGCAGCCCACTTGTAAATTTGATTGTAACAATGAATTTTTATGTCATTTTTCTAAAACTTTTTAAAACAAATAGTTCATAATAATCTATTTCTCGATAGTTTGCCACTTGTGGCAACAGGAACACTAAGTGGGACATTGTTCATATGGGATATACCTACCCAGACACAGAGAAGTGCAATTCAGCTTCAGGTAAAGTTCTTGTTAATTTTATTTCACAGTTTTCTAACTGAATTTACTGGAATAACTGGATTGAGATGGAATAATACGATGACAGATTTTCATGGTGATTTTTTTATTTCTATTATATCAAGTATTTATGTACTCCAGTACAATAATTTTGGCAACTGAACTTATTGCCTCAGTTTTTACTACACATTATTTTTTGGAGATTAAATATTAGACACTATTAAATTTCATGTCTCGTGAATCTGAAAAGTTACTCTTGTTTCAAACATGCATGTTTGTTAATAATATGAAAAACGTTGTTCAGTTATTTTTTAGCTGTGATCGTACTCCTATTCAAAAGTTATACAAGTCTGTTTATGTATTATAAAGAAATAAGGTATATTTTTTTATTGTTTACAGGCAGGAATTGTTAAGCTGTTATGGGACAATCAGTTACCTTTAATATATACAAGCACATTGGATGGAGTTGTGTCTCTTTGGGATGGAAGAAGTGGCCACTCTGTAACTACATGGGCTGGGCACTGTGCTGAGATCCTTGATATGGTATTATCAAGGTAAGTATATTTAGAGAGAAGTTCAACTTTTAGCTGCAGTTACTGGACGTATGAAAAGTGAGGTTTCAAACAGATAATGCTATACAATTATAATATTGTTTGGGGAAAATAATAATAATATACCTTTTTATTTTTAATTAGAACTAAAAACAATTTTGTTTATGAAAAAAAGAAAACATACTTGAAATAAATTTTAATAGTTTTTACAAATTAATTCTTACAAAGGTTCTATTTCTGTTAAAACCCACGTAAAATATGAAATTTTTCACTATGTACCCTGTGAAAAATAACATTATCAGGTATAAAACATATGAAATTGACTGTTTAAAGTGAATTATTTCATTAAATTAATACTTTTAGCATGTTTCCAATCCTATGCATTAAGGGCACAGGACAATATGTTGTGAAAACATTGTTTCTCTGCTGTCAAATTATTTCCAGTTTGTATTAGAAAAATATCAACAGCGTGTCAAATATTTCATAATTCCAAAACCAAACAAAGCTTGTTAAAGGAACAGAAGTGTAATTTCTTTTCATTTTTATTAATATCTGTTTTCTAAAAATGAAAGATAAGGTAACCACTCACGAAAAGAGCACTTTCCACATGGGTCAAAGGCCATGTCATCACATTTGTTGACTCGCATTCAAACTTTTATTGAACTACTATTTTATGTATATATGTCATTAAGTTTGGTATCAACCTGTAGATTATAATTCAAATTTTAGTATTATGCATTATTTAATTTCTTAATTTAAAAGCAAATTTAAAAGAAAAATAGATAAACATCGATTTTTGTGTGTCACGTAGTATGTTGAATGCAGCACTGGTTCAAATTAGATGTTTGTGATGTTAAAATTCTATAGTTTTGTATGAATTAGGAACTCAAATTACAGTTATTGACAAGCTAGGATATAAAATAAGAACCTCATTACTGAATCAAATGCAGTGGCCCAGCTCACTTCTTTCCATTTTTGGAAATGGTCCCTTATATATATGATATGTGAATAACCAATCAAAACCTCAGAATGTCCCCCTAGTGGCTTTCTCAGCCATTTTCAAATATAAAGTCGTTATATTATTCTTTCGATAAAAGATGGCATAGAGGTAAGTCGAGTCTTTAGTCTCCTCGAAATTTCATATTTTTTTAGACCCAAATACAGCCTTGTTACTAAAATTGATAAATTATAATTGAGTTCTATAGTAATTTATGATTTTCCGGTTATTCGAATGTATATATATAAAACCTAAAAAAAAAAATTTCATTTCACATCCTCCATGTGCGAAATTTGATAAGGCTTAGCAACTTACGGCAAGCAGTAAATGAGTACAAAGGTCATAACTAGAAGAGATAATTGTTTGCTTTAATTCTTTATTTACTGTTCTACTTTTTGAGAAAAATGAGTTTAATAACTAATTTCAAAATAACAATAATCTATATACATATATTATGTATAATAATTGAAATGTGACTGTATTTTACAAAATATTAATCTACTAAAACACAACCAAGACAAGTCACTTTGTAGAGACTAAAGGTCAGTTTTCTATTATTGGATACAGTAACATAAGTGCATGTGCACTGTGCCATTGTAACTTCTGTATTGTTAGCCAGGCATGGCTGAAAGGTCAATATAATAAAAATAATAAATATAT